ATATTAGCAAACTATGTAAGTGACTTGGAAGGTTATTAACGAAGTTCTTTTGGGGAGAGTTGCCTAACAAAAGAATTAAATATATTAGTGACTTAAAATTCTCATTTCCCTGGACTATAATTTATGAAAGCATGATCATGAAGTAAATTGGGAAGCACGAAAAGTCAGTCTGGGATTAAACAGTTGCCTAATTTATTTAGTGGCTACCTGCAGGATAATCTAAAGGTAACTTTTAATTTTCATTAAAGAACTTTCTCTAATAAATAATGCACACACGATACAAAGGGAAGGGTACAGAGTGCACACAGTGAAGTTATGTCTCCCTCCCACCCAGGCCCCTCCCCACCAAGCTGCCCTCCCTGCAGAATCACTATTATCAGTCTCTAGCGTATCCTAGTCTACGTCATGTTTTATACACATGGTAACACAGCGTAAACACTTTTCCACCTTTTAAAAATTTAACCTATCTCTTTGTTTCTTTATAGTGCGCTTTTTGGCGACTAGATGGAATTCTACTGAATGGCTATACCATCATTTATTTAACCAGTAGTTGTATTTTAAATGGATGAGGCTTGGAACCCACTTTGATTAAAACCTATTAGGGGGATGGCCGTCCTGACTAACCTAGCACCATGGCTGGAACAGGCTGAGGTATTTTTACTTCAGCGTCACCGAGGGGTATTTTACCTCATGTGGGGCTTCTGAAGCATCTACTCTCTACCTGGCCAAAAAGAACCTGAGCCTCAAATAGAAATGCTTTTTTGCATGTATGTTTTCCTTGTGAAACAGAAATGCTTTAGTATGTGTTTAATTCATTTTAAAATTAAATTTAAAGTACAATTAAAATAAATGTTAATCTATTTATTTAATTTGTGAGCTCCCTGAAGGCAGAGACTATCCTATAGATTTACTCAGTAAGTCTTTTTAAAGTCCCCAAGCGCACAAATGTTTCAGATGGTGCACGTGACACCACAGGACTCAGTTAGCCCGTGGAGCCAGAAAAGATTGAAGACTTCAGTGTGTTGGGTTTCTGAGACATCCAAAAATCCTAAGTAAGGAGATGAAGGGAGATGCTAGAATTTCCCTTCTCACTGGTGCCCCCCAGGCCAGCGTCTTGAAGGAGGTGCTCTCCTCCTCCGCTTGGGTGCCCTGGACCACGTGGCTTTCCTCACCCTTCCAAAGGGGCCCCGTGCTCTTCATCATCATCGTCTGCATCAGAATCCGTTTCAGATGAATCATCATCATCGTCCTCATTTTCGCTAAAGCCCCGCTGAGGGGTCAGCTGTGCGGTCTTCTTCTCCTGAGGTAGGTCGGGGGGGGGAGGCACAGAAAGGTCCACATAAGGGGGACATTCAGGAGTACCATGCCCAGTTCTCCCCTAGTGCTCTGCCCAGTACCCTCCCACCCAGCACCCAATCACCAGAAAGAGGTGGCACTCCCCTGAGGGGCCTCGAGAACCTTCTAGTCCTGTTTAGCTACAAACTGGCCCCCCCCTTGCTATAACCATATTCTATTTCTCTATTTGGGGCCTGGATATAACTTTTATCCAGTATGTATCTATTCTGCCTATTAGCTAGGAGATCCCAAGAACTTGCGTAAATGTTACCAGGTCAGCTTCAACCCTACAAATTAGGCACTTTGAACAACAGGAAGACAACCCTAAGAGTTATTCTGGTAGGAAATGGGGGAAGAGGAAGTGAAAAGATGCCTTTAGGGAACCTTAATACAAAGATCTCAGGGAGGAAATCTAGTATTTAATTTGCAAGACTGCCCAGAGTAAGCTGCTTGCGTTATCAAAAGAAGACAGTTCATAGTCAGCCCTGTGCCTGAAATGGGACCCGCAGTTCCGCAGACTGGGGGTTTTCTATTTTGCTCAGTGATCCTGCTCTTCCGTGGGTGTCTGACCTGTCCACACTTTCCTGCCCTTCCCCCGTTAGTTGAATGCA